TTTGCCTTTTTCCTAAGCACAACCTGTTCCTCAAGAAGATTAGCAACCAAAAAGTGTTAAGCCTATTTATATAGTTAAAATGTCTGCAAATTTCACTGCTCTGGATGATTTCGTTTCCCTGTGACTGTCAACTTATTCAGCAAATTAAATTGAGTTTGTTTTCTTATAAATGTAAAAACATTTTCCAGCACTGTGCTGAACATCATGTGAAGCACACACACACGCCCCATCACATAGACTCGCACACATATACAAATTTGTCGTCTTAATGTTTTTGATTAAGCTGATGACAAATGTTGGCCAGCTTTTCATACAAGTTTACAAAGCAACAAGAGTATATTGGTTTTGTTCAGCAATTTGAATACTTATGTGGCAAATGTGTGTAGGAACAGTAAAAAGTTGGAACAATAATAATATATAAATTAATTAAATAAAAGAATAATATATTGGGAAGGTGAGGATAGAATACCTTACAAATTAGTTGAGGAAACATGGATTTTTCTTATTTGCCAACACAAGTTGTGTGGGCAAGAAGTTGTTTCACTATATCTGAGGCGGAGGTACATGATATATACGAACAAACTGATAGGTGGGCAGCAAGACGGACACAACGCAAGACCAAAGTGAAACAGACTATTAGAACTAAATGTGTATAAGTTAATGCAACGACTTTTGCTGCAATAGATAAGAAAATGTTACAGATATCCAGTAACATGTGCTTTTGAGCGTCAGCTTACAAGTTTCGATTTCAGCCTGGACTGACACATTGACAAGAAATACGCAAAGCAAACGTTGGCGATTTTCCGATAGCGTTAAATTAGACATCAACTTGGCAAGGAACATACAAGTCACACGCTGACACATACACACACACACACTCACATACAGAGACACTGTCGGCGAGCATTGATATCCGTGGAACTTGACGCTTATCAGCCAACGCAACAACAGCAACAACCTCAAGAACGACAACTACAATATAGACAGCTACAACAACAGCCGCCATGTCGTTCAGCGCCTTGCAAAAACACAAAATGCAGCGTGCACAACATTTAGTAGGCGTGGTCGCCTACTGCACATGCTAAAGGCGCGCCAGACGTCACGTCTGCGCCATAACCACGCCCACCGCTCGTTTCGCCACACGCCTCGTTTGCATATCCAAGTGGCTTGCATTCATATGCCATTATCAGAGCCAAGGCATCGCCAACGCTTAAAACAAACAATGGGGCCCATTACTCAGCTCAAATGTATGACCAGAAGTCGTGTGTCTATGTTTACGACTCTGAATGTGTGTGTGTGTGTGTGTGTGAGTGAGTGTGTGTGTGTACTTGGTCATACAAATATATTACACTAGCTATATTATGCTCCTAGCCTATCTATCGCAGTGCGGCACAGATCTCGTTCAAGATGTTTAGCTTGAGGCAAATGGCTGCACGCACATCAAAAGCGCGACCCACGCATATATTTATCTCAAACTTTTGCAAACATTTCGCATTTAAAATATAGCCAACGAGATAAATTGACTTTTTTGTAGTTTTTACTTTTTTGAATAAAGTTGTTATAACTATTCACGCCAGCTTAATATGGCTTATATTATAAAACATAAATCAATTTAATTATTATGATCCTTTTTAATATTATTTGAATGGTGTTTTTTAATTTAACTTTTTACACATGGATTGACTTAATTTTGGTTGTGCATTTGCTTTATAAAATGTTTTTATAAAATTCTATGATATTTTTTTAGATTGGAAAACTTAAAGTTGTCATTCCCTTGATTTTTGTCAGTGTAACTTATTTACCGTACTATAAACCTGTTTTTTGTTTAAGTGTAATTATTTTTATACTGGCATATATTTATTTTTCCCAATCTTTTACCAAATGTATGTATAGTACCCTCTATAAGTATATGTAGCTTTGGCACGCGTCACCGTCAAGGTCTGTGAATTGCTCGCTGGAAGCTCAAATTAAATTTTGATCCGACCGAAGATGGGCGAGGAGGTAAAAAGGGACGAACAGCAGCATCAGCAGGAATAAAACTTTTGCTGTTTTTATAAATGTTTATTTAGCAAAAGCAAAAAGAAAACGGGGGAATATGAAACATAAAAAAAGGGCGAAAGCCCAAAAGGTGAGCACAACAAGAACAATGAGCTGTCTGTTTTTTTTTTCTTCGTCCTAATGCCAAGGCCAACGGTTTTGGCTACTGCTTTTGGGATGCTTTTTGCCAGTTTGCTTCGCCTGTTTCGCTCCGTTTCGTCGATTTCGCTCTTTCAACAATAATTTTGCTACTTAAATGGATTTTTGTATTTGTGTATCAACGTTTTATTTGCTGACAGGTGTAAAATTGTTTTTGCAGACATTTCAAATGTCTGCCTCCGTGCAATCTTTCCCAATGCTTTTGGCGCCGCCATTTGGCCTGGATAATTGCCAAGCAGAAAGCAACAAAAGCGATTAGTTTAATAGTTGCCATTAATGTTGCTGCCTTGGCTATCGCAACAGTTCGCTAGCATGTGTATCTATAGCCACATTACGCATACGCCATATTGGTTATTGCTTGCATCAATCAAAGACAGACTTGCGCAACATTCGCATGGACACATCAATTTTCTATATACAGACAATAAATAATGCTCTGTTTTCCGCGTGGCACAATTTCAGATATTCTGAATATTTTACACGTTGCTGCAAGTCGAGTGCGTTGCCAGCTTTGGCGGCAACATCAGCAAGTCATCTCCTTGGCCTAGCACTTGCTTGGCATATGTGCAGTGCTGGCAATTTTTTTCGTATTTGCTTTTGGCATGCACGTGCGATATTTTTCCATTTCCTATCAGAAATGTTTTGATAAATATGCACAACTTGAGTTTTGGAATGGCGAGTGTAAGAGGGTTTGGCGTATGTTGCTCAAATTGTATATATTCCTCGGCGCTGTTTGCGCAATTTGATTGCACAAAGTTGGTTTGGTCCTATGCAATTTCAGTGCAGACAGTCGGAAAAATTGTGAGAGATATTTGTTTGCCCAATGCCCATAATGAACATATCAACAAGAAGAAGTGCACAATTTTGATTTGTTATTTCTTCGTTGACGTTCATCTCTTTAGCATAAGTGCAGAGAAAGAATCCTTCGATATGTCATTTGATGCATAAACCGCATTGATGTTCTGTTGGTGCAAACAAATTTTTTTGGGTTTCCTTATTTATTTATTGGCTATAATAACGATATATACAATACATCATTGTCGCCTAACGTTAATATGCATAGCCGCATTTTCTGTTTAAAATTACATTAAATCTGTGCATTAAGAAATTTGTATACTAATGAAAAAGGGATAGATCAGCTCACAACAATCTTTAGAAAAGCCAAAGATATACATAATGTTGACTGAAATAATAAAATTAAATTAAATTCATTACTGATTGCCGCCGCGCGGCGCAAAAAGCAGCTAAAGAGTCCGTGCGGAAGCAGAGTAAAAGCAGTTGGACCGAGTGTTTATTTAAAAAAAAAAAATTACATTTTAAAAGCATCATAATTCAACGAAAACATTGCCAAGGCAAAGAAGTGGAAGGCATCCAGCCAGGCGGATAGGCAGACTGGCAGTCCTGCCAGCCAAGCCGGCGGGACCAAAGGCTGGAGGGGCAGGGCTTCTGCACCAGTGGAAATTCATTAAGCATGTTATAAATGCTGGAAATTTATAAGTAATTGTAAAGGTTTATGCGGTTTGCTATAGCTGGAACGTGTCTATCTTCACAAGGCGAAGCCAAGCCCAAAGGCATGCCACATAATTTATTTAAGGACCAAATAAAGCGTCCTCAGTCGCACTCAAGCTGACTTTGGCCCTAAGCAGAAAACGTTTAACGCAAATAATTGTGTACAAATATTTACAGAGTAGCTAACCAAAAACAAAACTCAGTCTGCGGTTAACACACAGTATTTGAAATAGTTTTCGTTAGCTTTTCTTATTTTACTTCTTCTTCTGAGGCTTCATAGACTTTCATTTAAGTATAGATTCATACAAGTGTATCGTATATTCATGTCCTTTGCCACACAAACTTCAAAGCAAAAGAATTCCCTTTCATGCATTGCGGCTTTTAATTATACCAAACGGGCTTAGTCAGCAATGCCAAACGCATAACGGAAATGCGAATCAAATGCTTAGGCCTATACGTTGCCACAAACACAAATTAAATAGTTTATACGCATATGCCGTATGCCAATAAGTGGAGCATTGGTTTGCTCAATATCAAACCAAATATCAATATTTACCCGCCAGACTCTGTTGAGGGAGAGCCACTATTCGGCTTAAGTGTTGTTGCAGTTCAACTGTTATCATCTATTTGAATATTTGTGGGTGAATGGGTGCTTTGAGCAGGTGTGTGTGTGTGAGTGACTAATTTGTGTGAAAGTGTGTTGTGGGTATGTGGTAAAGGTCATCGATTGATGCGTGTTCTGTTATGAGCTGCGGTTTTCATAAGGCAAATGCAGAGCAGTAAATCTATCAATTAGTTTACCAGAAATATGTAATCCCAATTACTCTTTTCGCAAAATGGTTATGAAATGATTAAAGTATAATTGATATTCCTTATTTCAGCTGAAGTTTCTACTAAAACTTACTCATATTTTCCCACAATTCGATTATTTTTATTCGAATAAATTAGAAATATTATAAAGATGAAAAAAATGTTTCATTGTTTTTTCAAGATTTTCCAAAAGTTTCTAGGTTCCGATTTTAATATAGTCAAGTCAGTAAGAGCCAGGCAGGTGAAGGAATTTAAAATAGCCGGTCATTTCTTGGGAAATGAAAGGCATGTGAGTCAATGCCGCCAAATAATTCACAAAGCGATTGGCACAAATTAATGGCTTTACTTTTGAAACCTTTTATACACGCCAGCAAGCCAAAAACAAAAAAAAAAAACAAAAGAAAAAAAAATTAAATAAAAAAATGCCCAGCCAAAGCAAAGCTCGTAAATTTGTTCGCCATAAAAATCAATATGTTAATGGGCAAAAGTTTGCTACAGTTGCTTGTGTGTATGTGCCTATGTGTGCGTGTGTGTGTGTGTCTGCATGTGTGTGTGGGTGTGTATAGATCTCTGTGTGTGTGTGTGAAGAGTGACACTGCTGAAACATAAATCCTACTGTCAACAATGGCCAGCAGCATTGACATGCGACTATGGCGGCGACATAGTCGAAGGGCGATCAGGACGCTGAGGAAAGGGATTGCCAGCGGCTGGATTGACCGCACCGCAGTGTTACATAAATACAATAAATACACATGGCGACATGTGAATATATATACATATACCCGCAGATGTGAGCACTGCAAAACCTCATTAAACTGTTAAATCTTTTGACAGGGCCGGACGCTGCTGATGCTGATGGACAGATGACGAAAGGATTTCGACCAACCAATTGCAGAGAACCAGACCGCCAGAGAGCCGTGGGGAGTGCGCATTAAAAATATGCAAACGAACAAAAAATATATAAAATTAAAATTGCAATTAAGCGTGGGAAATATGCGCAAAGTGTTGAAATGCGAACTGACGGCTTCGAATTGAAACTATTGACCAAGCAAATACTCTGCGGCCCCTTTCTCATGCCACAATCGCCACCGTGAACAAATAAGCCAAGGATATCTGTTAAATTTATGTAAAGATATGCGAAAACACGCCCCCTCAAAAGCCGCCCCTTCAGCCTGACGCTCGTCGCTTTCAATTTGTGGAAGACACTCGTTGCGCCCACAGCTCTCGACTCGACTCGACTCAACTCAACTCGAATCAACTAAAATTGATTTATGGATATTTTTAGAGAAGAAACGGGCCGCGACTGGGTAAAAGTTTAAAGCGTGTTGCGTGTCAAGAGCAAATATCAAAAATCGACATTCGACATACGGGGCGTGGTCGTAAAACCGCTCGAAAATTATAGCTTTCAGCTTTCGCGCGAATTGTAATAAATTTAGAAAACTTATATACACATCGCGAACCACTTGGCCATTTTTATAAAGTTTGCTCGCAATTGCAGCTTAACGCCCCATCCCAGCAGTTGGTTGTCCCGCCCCCTCAGTTGGGCAGCAAACGAGTTTCAACTAGCAAAGGTCGTTAACAGCTGGAAAGGCTTAAGCCCCCCGACGGAAAAAAGTTCGTAGGTGCCAACAAGCGTGGAATAGAGCGGCTAGAAAAAAGGAAAACCGGCAAGGATGTGGCAGGAAGTGCTTGACCTCGACCATGGTACACACTGCAACATTACAAAAAATGGTAACGTGAATATTATGACTCTTAAATCGAAATGGCGTGGTTCGTTATGGTAATGGAGAAAAGCTAGGTTTTCAATGCCGTGCTCAAACGCAAAGCATGTGTAAGTTACGAGATTATGATATGTTTTAAGAATGATCGAAGAGGGTGGGCGAACGCATTGTGAACATTTTTTGCAAATGGCTTTTGATCTAGAAACAAGTTAGGGATATTTTATAAATTTATACTACACTAGCCATTTATAGAAATGACTAACATTCATATTAAACTTGACTGTTAGTTGTCTGTTTTCCGGACACGCCCATTACGCCTTGTTGCATAGCCGCAGAGAAAATAATAATACCCTAATAATCTTCAACATACTGCAGGGCATCAACAACAACTTGCCTAAGTAGTAAGAAAGAACTTTCAGACGACTTAACACGCAATCCAAAAGGGGCTTAAAGGTTAAGCATTATAATTTCGAGTACCTTTTTTACCACTCCTGGCACTTGTTTTGGTTGCTATTATTATATTCGGGCATATAATGTACATTTTTTTACAATTGAAAAAGTTAAAAATAGTTTTAAAACTTAGCCGGCGGCTGCTGCCTTAGCCAATTGAATTTTTGTTGTTCGCCAATTAAAGCGTGCGAATGCAAAAATGTGTCTAATTTTTGTGAGCCACCCACTCAACTTGGAATGGGATCTAATTTATGGGCTTCCACGAAATATGTACATCTATTTTGCGATTGTATTTCTGGGTTATTTATTGTAAAATACCCGCGCACTCCAAGAACTGTTAGATCGATATGGCGCAATCAATGGGCAGTGGTTGGGGCTGCGCGGTCGGATGGGTTGGGGAACTGATTGCGAACTGGTCGTATTTAATAATAATTTCTACATTTATTTATGCTGTTTGGCGTCGTTGTAATTGTTGCCAGGGCGGGATCGGGGCCAACAGAAAAGCTCAAGCTGTCGCTTTGGATTTGTAAATTTCTGGGCTGCCAAATTGGGTAGCTGGTTGGGTTGCATTGGGGCATTGGCGTGCCAAACAAAAATATTTAACACTTGTGCCATAAACTATTGTCAGATGGTCTAGGGGAGCCCTCGGCTAACCAGCTAGCCAGCCAGCCAACTCAGCTTAATGTAGCTTGTGGTTATATGCTCCTGCCGCCTCAACGTTTTACGCTCATAAAATAAACCAATTTTATTTACAGTTGCCTGAATTTACGCCTGAATTGTTTGCTTATAGCAATAAAAATTGTCATTATTTGTGGAGAACAAATATTAAAAAAATACTTATTATCGCAACTCGCAACAGCGAATACTGTTTGTCGTTTTATTAATTTTTAATTTAATATTCTGAAAAACACACAACGTTTCCAATGGAATAAATACAGCTATTTAACAAAGATACAATTTTATTGTCCTGGCACATACATTTCAGTTTTGAGATACATTTCTATCATTAGCCACAAAAAGGCGTTTTTGTTTTTATAAACTGATTTTTTTATTAGATTGGAATTATTTTAATTAAAACTTGTTTATTAAATCCGATGTTGCGACAAAATTATAATACCTTTGGCCTCAAGGCTTTGGATTAAAAGGAAGGCTGATGTGAAATTAGTTCAATTCAATTGCAATATTTTTCTCAAATATTTTGTTTACCACTTTTAGGCAATTGTTGTTGTATTAGATCGGGACATTTAAGCTGACGGACATTCAGGTAAACAAGCAGACTTTAATTTTAAATATAGTTATATAAATTTAAAAGTAAATATAGAATATACGTTATGGGGTCGGAAAATGTTTCTTCGGCCTATTACATTTACTCAACTGTAATATACTATATTTTACCCACTTTAATACGTATACAAATTCTTTTTAGGAATGTCTGTGTCTATGGAAACCTTTATACTATTTGCGCATTTGGCTGCGCAAAAAGCAAAGCAAGTTTTTTAATGACCGCGATAAGCAAACAGAGGATAAAGCAAGTATACGGGTGTCAACAAGGCATAACCGACTGCGGAATACACACGGTGTAACAAAAAATTATGGAATTGGTAAGTCGATTGACTTTATTATATAAAGCCAGTGTAACAATAAATTATGGAACTGTAAAGTGGAATCACTTTATTATAAGTATATAACCTTTAGTTCAGTTATTTATGCTTTATCTAGACTATAAAATAATATGAAAAATGCATAATGATCGGACTATATATAACAATGTAAGGAAGTCTCCTGCTACTTGTATATAAAACCTAATATACTCTTTTCTACATTTTTAACAGAGTGTTAAAATAAATAAAATAAAATAGAGCGAAATAAAGAAATAAGTGCAGCTTGATGATAATTACTGTACTGTTTGCTGTCATGTACGCAGCAGGAATAAAATACAAAGCGGTCAAGACAGCGCACAAGAGACTGACAGGGAACAACAGAATGTGCTTGCCGAAGGATAATTAAGTTGGACTTTAACATAAAAAGGTGTTGTTAGACGAGAAAACCGCAAAAGATGGGTGCCATAAGAGAGCAGGCCTAAGCTAACGGGTCAATACGCAATTAATTATACGTCACGTGGTCGGAGTGTGGCCGCAAAATGACTGCGATTTGCCCCTGAAAAGTACAGAAAATATCTAAAACCACAAACAGAATACGCGTTGTACAACTGGCGCATACGTTGCGCCGTAAACAGGATGCAAACCGGGAACTTCTCTCTTTCTCTTTTTTTTAGGCTGTGCTTCTCTGCGCAAATGTATTTCAGCTTCGCTGTGCCCGCGAAAAGAATAGGATAAAAATGATGCTAAGTCAACTTTTGGCTTTAATGGCACTATACGCTGCTTTTAATTAGCAGAGAGTGTGAAAAAATGAAAAGAACACTAGAAGAGCAGCAAGATAAAACCAAGAGCATGCCGCAAATGCAACACTTTATATGCAGTTTTCTTTTAATTTTCATTTTTATATGCGGAGGCTGCGACGATGACGTTGCTCAGCCTGCAAATGTAGGTTGGCATTTCTTGTGGCACACTCTTCCCCTCTCCCACTCTCTGTCTCCCGCTTGCCGCGGCACTGTCATTGCCACATTCCCTTGCACGGAAGTGAATGTTGGCAAGGATGTGCCCCACTGAATTTGCCAGGCTTTCGCTATTGTGTTAGTGTAAGTGCAAGCGCATATAACTTGTAATTAGAGTGGAAAAAACACGCAATTACCATTATGCACGCCGAATTTCTCTTTACGATTGGGGCGCACACTAAAAGCCATGTAACAGTAGCAACAACAAAGACATCCAGAACAACAACTGCGAAACAAACTGCAACGATTATACCGGCTTTGTCTCTCAGTTGACCTCAATTTATTTTAAATCCAAGGCGTTCAGCTAAAAACACGCGCGCCAGACTGACAGGATATTGTATTATTTGCAAGAGCTTTTCTCCTTTCTCTTTCTAATGCAGTAGTCCGCGCGGTCTGCCGTGTCCTTGTCCTGGGCAGTTCTTACAAAGACATCAGTTCTTTGTGGGTAGGCATATTGTATACACGTATTCATTACAATTGTAAAAAGTGAACTAGTGTATTTGATTTGTGTAATATCAGTCTTGGTGTCCTTTCGTCTGCCCCCACAAACCGAATTGTATCCAATTACACCTTTAACAAGTTTAAAGATCTTTATATAATTTGATAAATATATTACAAGCATGTTAAACTCCTTCACATAAGCAATACGCTTGTATGCCAGTCGGTCAATTTTCTTCATAGATAGGTCAGTGACTCGGCTCAAGAATTTTACTTTCCATGTTTATATCCATCAGCTTGTGCTTTCTTTGATATATGTATTCAACTGAATAATGGTCAAGTCACAGTCCATAACTAGCAAAAATGAATCATTCAAGGTGAAGATGCTACTGGCATTTATATGGATTTAGTTGCTGATGATTGCTGGTCAAGTCCAGAAGTGCTACAATAAACTCCGGCAACCCGAAGGTCAAGTTGTGACTGACATTTATGGGGCTAGAGTACGCCGGAAAATTGTGACATTTCGCATTCTACATTCCACATGCTTAACAATTCAGCACATGGTTTCGCTTATGCTGATACGCAATATTACAGAGCGAGTCTCAAGTGGCACCGAGAAGCTGTGCATAAAAATGTCTCAGTGTGGTCCAGAAATCGCACACAAAATCCACCGCAACTATTTTTTGGTCACATGCTGAGCAATAAAAGTGTCCCGGCTGGCCGGAGACACTTTTACTGTCCATGTCTATCCTATAAAAAGGGGCACATACGCTAAACCTATGCCACATATACACACACACACATACACACACATGGACGCACACATGAATGTTGAGCTTGAGGACACAGCTGCATGTCTGGCCAGGCTTACGTACTTAGGCAGAAAGGAGTAGCGGTAACAACTGGATGTGTGTGCTTCCCACTAGCTAGACTGACAATTTGGGTTACAAGAAATGTTGGCCAGCGCGGTAGTTGCAACAAAACATTTGAGTGTCAACGAAGAGTTGGAAGGACCTGAGTCCTGCCGCCTGCTAAGCTGTTTTTGTGGGTTTTGCAACCGCACAGATAATATGTTAGCTAAAGTTTTTAGCCGCTTTTAGGGCAATAAAATTGCTTTAAAGACTTTGTGGCAACAAGCGAGTATTGAGTGGCATTGAAAGCCAAAATAAGAGTGTATAATTGTTAAGTAGCTAGCTGAAAAGATGGTAAGAACATTTACAAATAGGGACTACTACA